ACCCTCTTTCTAACACTGCACACAAAGCTCCCGTGTCTTCTGCAGCCCTTTCCCCAGGGACCATCTGATCGGCCCATAGATATCTAGCAGCTATTGCATAATCTTACTTTTAATTTAATCTTTTCAATCAAAATCAGGACACCGGCAATCAAGAAATCCACTCACATATCTGTTTCAGAGACATGATCTTCTGTGGGTGTACTGACCAGGCTCCTAGTACCCTGGTTCCAGCAGAAATTTTCCCAACATGAACACACAACTGTGTTTTGTTATCTTCACTGAAGATGTTTTTGAAGGCTGATTACAGAGCATTTTGGAGAAAGAAAATGTTCCTTCATAATTTTGCATTGGAAAACTGCTGGTAAAGAGTTGAAAAAAAAAAGTGCTCCCTTTTACAAATTAAAACATTCAGATCAAAGGATTAATGTGAAAAAATGAGGTATAAACTTTCAGTAACAAGAAACTACCGCTACAAAGTGGTCATTTCTATTGGTCTAGAGGTGGTCTCAGACATCTTTCCTAAGAAATTATGTGTGGCTGTTCTTGTCGTAATGTGAAGTTATAAAACTGGCATTTAACTGGAACTTTATGGAATCATACTTATGTATTCTGGACCTTTTAAAACTATATTAAAAATCTGATAGAGATGTTGTTCTGTGCTAGTTATATCTTTATGATTTTAGGGGTTTCTGGTTTGTTTTTTTTTTTTAAAGCTTTGAATCCCTCATAGTGTTCACAACAAATTCAGCTTGATTTTAACCTTCTGCAGTGACTACTGCAAAGCTTCTTAACTTTTACACTATAATGCAGTCAATGTATTTATAGTTCTTGAAAATGTCACATGGCAATGTTATGCCAGGGACAGCACATCTCAGAGACTCCTTAAGATGTCTGCACTGTTGGATTCTATTTGTAGAGGCATTTTTGTCAGCAGCAATGAAGAAAGAGCTGCTGCTGCAGCTCTTCCAATAACATTCAAGCTTACAGTTGACCCAAGGGGCTCACATTATGACATCCATATTTAATTTAACAATAAATCATATTTTCATGGACTACAGTATTGCATTATAACCTCACTGTTTTATGTGCATGGGAATGCAGCAAAAGCAGGCTAGTACGTATCTACAACACAGGCTAAATGGTTAGTTCATAAGAGCATGGTCAAAGTGTACAGTGACGACAATATATAAAAGGTTTTATAACAACTCTTAGAAGTCTCGGGGGGAAAAGGACAAAAAAAGCTGTCCAGAAGGGACCGCATTTAATGTAAGGTGCATTTTTTTTCAGTCCTCTTAACTGCACCACCTTGCTTACTATCAGTTTTAGTTCTGCTCTGCACTTCCCATTGCAGTCAGCATTCTCTGTATCTCATTTTGTCTTCTGCTTCATTCAAGCATATTTAAGGAGAAAATTAACACCATCTGAATCTTAAGCTTTACCCATCCCTTTCTCCTCACAATAATTTCTCCTATTTGCCCTGCATCTTTTATTGTTGACCTTCTAGCTGACTGCAAATTAAATGTTTGTATGTTTTCTATTTATTTGCAAATCTAGTCCTGCTTGTTCATATTTATTCTTGCTCATCTCCCCCTTATTTGCCTCTGCCCATATCACATCACATCATCCTCAACTTCTTTACTTTCTATTCCTACTAACTTCCACTCTTTTTCCAGTGCCTACTTCTTGCAGCCCTCTGCAACCTAAAATTCATGTAATTCATTCTTTCCTCCCCATCAGCATTATTAATAATCTTCTACCAGCCAGATTACGGAATAACTTCATTGCTGCTCTTCATCAGCTGCCTCTGGCAATAGTTTACCCACTATTTGCACTGCTGTCCTCCATAGACTTCTGAAACCCTATTATCTCTTTTAGAAGGTTCCACTTTTCAAAACTAAGTAGTTTCAATTACCTTTTTATTGGCAGCCTTGATCTTTGGTCTAGATGTCATCCTTAACATACATTACATAAAATTAAGGAAGAGCAACCGTAGTAAAAAGCATTTCACTACTCTGATCCATGTTCTCTTTTTACCTCTCGTCCAGCCTTCTGTTCGTCATCTCTTCATGCATTGTATCTAAATTAGATTTTCAGTTCCTTGGGGTAAGAAGACATCATTTTCATTTATCTGTAAAGCACCATGCACGCTTATGGCTCTGTAGAGATGCTAAATATGTATATCTACATTTATTAAAATATTGATGGTTTTATCTATTCATACAGTGCAGAGGCAACATGGCAGCAGTTGTATCCATTTAAAAACTATTTTCCATCTATAATAGCTATAATGTGATATATTTATAGTAGCTGCATGCTGTTCACACTATTTCCTAGTTCATACTTACATTGCTCTTTCTGGTCGTATTAACTAACACTGCCCAAAAAAATAAAAACCTCAATTTTCTCTGACAGCATCAAAACCTTTTTCTAAAAATAAAGCATAGGGGTAACATACAGTGGTTTTATTACTCATCCATACTGTGTGATCACAGTCTTAGTGGGTGAACGTTGCTGTACCAGCTCAAGACTCCTCCTGCCCTCCAAAATCTTGTAATTTACATAGTCTTGATGACAGTAAAAATTTTAGGAATTTTGGACACCAGCATTTTTGCTACCTAGCTTTAGAGGCATTGAAGTATCTGATTTTCAGAGTACTAGAGCATAGCACTTTTTAAAACACAAGGTCTTGAAAAGGGAAGTTCCTTATTATTTTGAAAATTTTGGCTGACAAAATTAACATAATTAGTGCAAGCATATATTCTAAAAGCTAGGAGGGTTTTTAATGCAAAAAGATAAAATGAGGATACTATCAATCCAGTTATAACATATTAAAATATTTCTATTAACAAGTGCAGTAACAGGCCGTAGATATACTACCCTTTGTAGTCAAGCATATTTATTTCTTGGTTAGACAAAAAAGTAAGTAGGCATGCCCAAAACCCACAGCAAAATCCACACAGGCCCCTGTCATGACCCAGAGCTCATTGCATGAATGAGCCTGTACTAATCATTTCAAAAGTTAGCTCAAAAGATAAGGAATTATTGTAGAGTAGGCACCGTATGCAGAGCAATTAAACTGTTCTGCTTCACATAACACTTAATAAATGGTTAAGCATTTAAGCGTTGAATAAAGTGAACATCTTTGAATATCCTGCTTTGCAGGATATCTGAGCTTAAAACTTGAAATGGGTTGCTCATTCGTGGGTCAGTACATAGGGAGTGGTCTTAACAAACTGTTTACTCAGAGTAGCAGGAGAGAAGTTACATGGGGATAATGTTACTGGCATTTCTACATAAAGTGCCTTACAGGTGATGGATTTAATATTTATATTATCTTTGCATACAGAGACCTGTTTCAACCAGTGTTTCACCATGCTTTTTACTGGATAAAATGATAAACATCAATCCAGCTTAATGTCAAACAACATATATAACTAAACCTGTGTAAGGCTGCACTGATTACAGTCAGAACACACACGTTTAAAAGCTTTGTTGGAATGAACAAATGGCAATTTCATTTTACCCAACTTTTGATGTCTCCCATATAGGCATCTACTTCAGAGCTAGTCCCCTTCATTTCCTTACTATGCATGAAGAGAACTGTGTCAATGAATGCACTAAGGTATGATTCATCAGACCTACTCTAAACGTTTACTTCGGGATAAGCCATTGTACATTCTAAAATGACTAGATTTGGTAAATGAATCCCATTTCATTAAACAGTGAGAATTGAATGTTTATTCATTTCTTTACCTCTTCAGAGAAAGTCAATTCCAGATATCCTGCCTACAGCCTTATAAGTAAACAAAATAGGGTCAATGGCCTGACTCAAACATCATCCCTCAATAGTCCGCGGACCCTAATTTTTACTCCTTGACACAACTGCTGTCCGATGCCAGCTATTACTTTCCAGACATGGCTTGGGGCCAGATATGGCACAGCACAGGAAATGCTCTCCAAAGGCAGCTAGAAGATGGTCTGCCTGCTTCAGATAGAAGCAGGCCCTACCTGTTGGTTTCAGTGCCAGAAAATGGTCCTTTGCATCTTCTACTTGAACAAAAAAAGTTAATTGGCATGAATGACAAGTCTAAATTGCAACTGTAAATGAAAAGGAAGTAGATGGAAAGGTAGCTTTTAAATGAACATTTTAATGACAGTAAGGATAAAATAAAGAATATAAACACAGCAAAAGCAAAAAAGAAGCACGAAGATGGAAGAATGGCTACAAAAAAATATTAAACTATGATATGACATTCATGATTGTGATAACTTTGGACGAATATAACAGGGAGACTAGCTATTATCTAAGTGAACTGGCATTTTAACATACAGCTCTCTTGATACATATGAGAAGATCGATACATAATGAGAAGATCTACTCCCTGTAAATTACCTCAGAGAATACTACCAACAGAAGAAAGGTAGGGAACAAATTTCCGGAAGATTGGAAATTGGACCAACTTTGTTTCTATCAAAACTAATGGTAAAGCATCTTCGGAAAAAATGAGCTTCACTAGTGCTGAACACTTTTGGCCATCCTGACATAAAGGCAGAAGCTAAGCTATAACGACTTAATGGCCCTGTACAGGAATGAATTATTACATGGATTCATTGTGTATGGGAGGTCGTGTTCTGTAAGGATATTATGAGATGTAATGGTCAGGTTTTCAGGTGCACTCAACTCTACATCCTTCACAATGAGAAGTATGAACGATGAGCACTTTTGAAGATCAATGTTGTTGCTTTGCTCAGCGAAGAACTATGGCCCTACAAAACTGAGTTTAGAAATAATGTATGTATGGAGCACCTTTTCATCTATTTCCACCCCATGATGGGGGGAGTTGGATTAAAACTACTTGCTTTCCTTTCAGCTATTTTTTTTTTCTAATCACATTATTTTACTCCAATTTACATGAGTTTTAGCTTCAAGAATCATTGCTGAATGCAAATAAGCACAAAGTAAAATTATATTAAGTTTGCACAATTAATCTTTCATCATTTTAAATGGTACCTTTTAAAATTTCCTGTAAAATCAGCCTGAAATACTCCCATCGTTGACTGTCATCAAGTAGAGCAGGGTCACTTCGGGAAAGCCCATTGTCAGTGATGTAAATTATAGGGTTATTGTATGTATCCTAGAACAAGAGAGCAGAAGTTTTATTCAGAACAGATGTAAGAAAGCCCATAAAATCAGATGCATTACCCTCTATCTTTTCTAAGCTACAAACTAAAACTAGTTTTCATCAAATTGCACTGACCCTATTAACTTAATTTTCCATGAGCTGACCTTTTATGACTAACAATAGAAAAGCAAAACTGTGCAAATATCCATGAAGACAGTGAAATGACTTATTTTAATGAGAAGACTAAAATATCTTTCCTGTATTAGCATCTGCTTATTGTCACTGCTCCTTAACCCCTTGGTACTGGCAGTCACCACACGTCCCATTGCCAGGAGTAGATGCATGCCAGGAAAGCCTTACTGCTGGCATCAGAAAGACCATTTCTGGAGTTCAAAAGATGATATAACACTGGTGTGTCATTTCAAACTGTAAAATAGCTATCAAGTGCAAAGGCAACAGGAAAATACTAAGGCTTCTACTCTTTATAGCCAGCATGCAAAAATTAAATTAAGAATCCCAAGGTGACTTGTTTATTTATATCTTGTACAATGTCTTATGCCATCCAGATGGGCCCCTCAAAAAAACCCCAAATCGCCAGTATTATTCACTGGATTCTCAGATCCCCTCATTGGCCAGTTAACAGTGGTAAAATGGTCCTGTGAGCCTGAGGTCATTCCTTGATATAACACAGGAGCCAATGCAAATCCCTTGGTACTACAGCCAGGCATAAACTCCCAGTTGCAATAAGCCAAGAAGGATCCATTATTTGCTCAGCTTCACAGTCCATTGAAACACTTAGCCTCTTGTCTGCATTTTCTTGGTCTTAAGCTTAACAGTTCAGGGCAAAGAAGTCAGCAATACTCATGATCATAATTTTTTCCTCTTTAGTGAATTCCAGAAGCCTTGATGATAAGTAACCCTGCTTTGAATGCAGGGTTACTGCAGAAATCCATTATTATTTGCAGAAATCCAGGACTTCATGATGGCTGGATATTCACTATCAGTAAACACTGTCCTGACAAACCCATCTAAGGTAAAGGACAGGTACCCTTTAGTTGCTTTTTGATCTGCTACAGAATTTGTAGAGGTTCTACCAGTCTGAGTTCAGAGCTATAGACACAAATCAACATTGTTTTCTCCAAGTATCTTATCGCAACAGTGTCAGGCTTTAGCATGAGCTTTTATCACATTATAAGCTGCCTTGTAAGCTCTGGTACCAATGCTGGGGCTATACCTTTTTCACAACCACCTATAGCAACAACGTAAGGCTCATTAATAGTGATCACTCAGTCTCCAAATGTTCTGAAGTAATACTTTGCATGAATATCAAAGGTCTTAATGATCTTTTCAGATCTCCAGCCACCTTCATCTCCTAAGGACTGAGGAAAGCCAAAGTGATACAGTAAGCAGGATGTCATTTTCCATGTTATTAATGATTTTGCTGTAATAATTGACTCCTGAAAATATTAAAAGAAACAAAAAAGGGTTAACTTAATAACTTTATTACATTTTAACACATGAAGAAACCTCACTGCACATTTTCTCTGTTAAGAGATGCAAATATTTCCTCTCAACTGCATGCTGACTACTGTTACATGACCCCAGAGTTGGCAAAAATGCTCAGCACACAAAATCTTCCAACCAGGCACATAAAATGAAATGAGGATGCAAATTTCAAAATAGATCGGTGGACAGCAACTCCCCAGGAGAAACATAATTCTGATGGGTGCTGGTCACATGAAAATATAATCCTTTCATTTAAATGCCTAAATGGCAGCCTGGCTGCATGTACAAGACAAAAGCGTGTTGAAAAAATCCTGACACGTGAGAGCCTGACAGGTAGATTTGTTCTAATGAAAGCATTTCTCTCCTTGAGAACTGTGTCTTTTAAAAAGTTTAGTGCCACACTCAGCAAGGTAACTAAGCTGATCTTTTATGATTTGAACTTGGTTAGCTGGGTGAGCTGTTTTCTCTAGACTGTTCCGTTTTCCATCACTGTCTGTGCCAGCATCAAAACAAAGAAGATACTGTCAATGCCTTCAATATTTTGCAATGGTGTGCATTCAATGGCTCCCTCATTAGCTGGGGCATCTTACCAGATCTATATGACATTTAAGGCTTTTCATCGGACTCTAATAGATTTTAGATGGAGTTTAGGGCACTGGTGTCTTTAGCCACCAACTTGAATGGCTTGGCAATAGTTTATGCAAGAAACCAGCTCTCTTCCTTTTACACTGCCACTGCTGCAGACTGCTCAGTCCCTCTAAGTGCAAGAAGGAATTAGCTCACCTCTCTAAAAGCTCATGACTTCCAACCTTTCTTGTCCCCCCTTGATAAGACAGAGATCAACTAATTTCCTGGATGTGTTGTTAAAGCTGGCCAGTACTGGGGATGTATTTCTAGAGGCTTAAAAGGAATTCACCTTCTGTTCAGATTTAGCAGTGGCTGACATGAATATGTTTCCTAAAGGACTATTTTTATGCTGCTGAGAGGTCACTGTAAGTTTAAATATCAGGATACCTTAAGCTCTTATATAGGCATTTTTAATTTTGCTTACATCCAAACACAACTACATTGCTTTTAAGCCTTCTGAAAACACTAGGTATTGCAAAACACATCATAAGCTCTGGTTCAAAGAGTATCAATTAGCTTGCTCTTTTACTTGAACTATCTGGTTTAGTGCGGTAATTGGAAAAGGCCAACAGTGGCCTTGAATTATTACTCGTTAAGCTAAGAGGCTCCAGCCAGGAATAGGTCTCCATCATGCTGGTGGAATGTAGAAATTGGTCAGCCTTTGCTTCAGAGACTTGGGCTTAAATATACCAAAGTGTTTAAGACCCTCAGAAACCTAAAATTCATAAAAATTTCGTGGGTCTTAGACCACCACAAATCCTAAAAAGACATAGGTGTTTATGAAACGTTTATCCCAGGGCCTTGCTGTATTAAAACCCAGAACTGAGAAAGGTCTAAAGAAGTTGAGAACATAGCAGAAAGGAGGAGGAAGACTAAGTTGCAAAGGTTAACAAAATGTATGCTTAGGAGGTTATGTATGGTTTAGATTATTATTCTTAACAGTTTCTGAACCAGAGATTTTGTTTAACCCAAAGCAGGAAACTTGTTCATTAGTAAATATGCCTGTACTATATTGAACTATAACTTCCCTGGTATTTTCAGGTTCAGCTTGCTGTGTATTGATATTTAAAAATGCCAACACAGAACCCCATACTACCTTCTTCTTAAAAGACAGTATTACAGAAAGGAGGAGGAAGACTAAGTTGCAAAGGTTAACAAAATGTATGCTTAGGAGGTTATGTATGGTTTAGATTATTATTCTTAACAGTTTCTGAACCAGAGATTTTGTTTAACCCAAAGCAGGAAACTTGTTCATTAGTAAATATGCCTGTACTATATTGAACTATAACTTCCCTGGTATTTTCAGGTTCAGCTTGCTGTGTATTGATATTTAAAAATGCCAACACAGAACCCCATACTACCTTCTTCTTAAAAGGACAGTATTAGACTTCAAATTATCCTAACTTCAGATGACTGATTGTAAGGATTTCTGTCGAATGGCTTTTTTAAGACAACATTTACTGCAGCAATCAATTATGAACCCCAGATTTAGATAGTGCTTTCTTGTAAACAAACAGGTGCATACACATCCTTTTGCACAGCAAGACTCAATAAGTTTGTTTACAAAGTAATTCACAATAAATCTCACAGATAGTTTGCTTTTCCTTCTGAATGCAGCACCAGAAAAACACATTAAATTCTGAGGACATACGTGCCTGTGCCTGAGAATGCACCCATGTAAAAAGGAAGGAATATATCAGAATTTTAAATTTTGAAAAGAAAATTCTTGCAATTTGCAAGAGCAATTAGGAGCAAATACAGGTTGTTTCTGTTACTTTTGAACAGGGACCTATTTGACTTCAGTGGGACTGCGTGTGTGTTAACTATTTGCTGGTGGGACTGCAAGGTTTACTACATAAGCTTAAACTGGGAAAAAAGAAATCCTTTGCTGGTACAGCATCCTGTTCTACCATATTGAGAGAAATGCTTGCCTAGAAGACACTAGCATTTCCCATTCTAATTTTCAGATTATAAATTACTTAGTACAATTTATAACATTTAAGTGCAACCAGCTATCATTCATTTTTTACATCTCAATGAAACACCAATATTGGAAAAGATTTATGGTTTGTGTTAGGAAATGAAGAGAAATAGAACTGCATTCCTGAAAAATGTAAATGTCAAGTCAAATTTCCAGATTGTCTCATACCTTCCAGAGTAGCCTGATTTAGTTTCTATGGCTGTATCTGTGGGTCAGCTAGAAGCAGAAATACAGAAGAAAAAGTTCTTCTGAGAAAGTGTATATATAAGGTTTTTGTGGAGACACCCCAAAATTTTGGGATTACAGACATTAAGGACCATTTTGTCCCTGGAAAGTAAAGAATTGTTCTTTTCTCCTTTCTGTCGTCTTCTCCCCCCATCCTGATTCCTTACCTTCATGCTGAAGTGAGGCATAACATCAAACTCTCCCAGACTCAATACCCCCACGTCTACTACTTCTGTCTCCCTCCACACTGACACCTAGTGTTTAGCAGCTAACTTGCTCTGCTCAGGGCACCTTCTAGGGTAAAAATAATTGTACGAAACTACTTTAAAAACAAACTTGGTGTAAGTTTTAACCTAAAACCTGACACGTCTTAGGAACAATACACCTACAACATCGCTGCTTTAAAAGACCCTACCCCCACCGAGTTAGAAACAGAATGGTTTTAAAGGTTTTCAAATGTCCTATGTCTTGGGTGTGAAATTGGTAGTGAATCAGTTGGTGTGAATGATTTTATTTGAAAGGACATTGCTCTAAGCTTTCTAATTCTTCACATGCTCTTTGTAAAAATGTTTATATAGAAGATGATGGCCTTTCCATGCTATGCAGTTACAATTGCTTCAACAGATCACTGCACAAGAAAGTGAACTCCTGCCTAATGAAAGCCGGCCTACTTGGAGTTCCTCCAATGCCCTTTCGCTAAATGTAAAGTTCATAATATTAATCAGGCAACTCCTTATACTGGGGATCAAGTGAACATCTTCTGAAATTACAGCTGAGTTTTGTCAAAATGTTAGCTTTCCTTACCAAGTGCATTCAGAATATCTGCTTGCTATCTCCCACTCTGACATCTAAATAACAAAGCCCGTTCAGTAGGCAGCTCTGTGGGGTTGTACAGTGCCTGCAGCCCCAGCTGAAGGAATATCAGTACAGGAAAGAAACCACAAGGACTCAGCCAAATTGAAATTCAACACGCCGCAAACAGTGTTCCTAGGGAAGGGCAAGCTGTGCCAGTGAAAGTGGGCCGCATATTGTAAATTTTGGTGGCAAAGAAAAGGCTTCCATTCAAGCCTCTCCAGGATGTTGGCACAGTTTTTGCAGTCATGCTCTGCAGGGGAAAACGGCTGGTTGGTCTGTTTACAGCAGATTCACCAGCCCCCCCCTTTCTGAATTCTTGAAACAAAGGCTCCTCCACTCTCTGGTGAAAACCGTAATCTGCAGGATGCAGAGGACAGGCTGCTGCCTATTGAACAGCCAAACTCTACATGACCAAAATTCTGCAGAAAAATATTGCTTCTCCTGGTATCTTCATAGTACGTATCCTGGTATCCTAGATCAGGACAACCTGAAGAGCATTTTCTAAGAAATCCTTTCCCTTTGATGCCTTCCATCTTTGCAATCTTCAAACCAGTGGAAGAAAAGAATTGCCAAGGCAAACACTGCCCCAGAAGTACAAAGATATATGTCTTCTTGGTAGAACTGAGATTCAGAAGAGTAGGAGATAGAATTGAGATTCAGAGCTTCATTCAAATCTACTTTGCTTTTTTCTCCTCAGAACATTATCCTCCCAGCATATAAGAGACCTCAACCAACTACTTTGATTCTCCCATCCTTTCTGGTTCAGCTTCAGTTGCTTTTATTCTTCACAATTCTCTTTATTTCTTCTTTCTTCCATTTCCTACGTTCTGCAGGTAAAGCTGCCATCTCCTATCTTTTCCTAGTATGTCACCTTCATCTTTCCCCTAGTCCATACCAATGGAATTAAACAAATCAGAAGCGTAACAAATTTTATATCTGACTTCTAGCAATCTGACCAGCTTGTTTATGTGCTATATGCCTTTTCACTTTTACACTGTCTGCTGAGACTGTGAAAACTCTTCTCTTCAGAGCAGGGACTGTCTTTTGTTTGTCAGAGAACTAAGCACAGTTCCTAGCTGAGTCTGAAGAATCCTCTCTAATTCACTGACGAAAATATCTGGGAAAAGTATGTCCCTCTTAGTGTAAAATAGTTGATGTGAAGTTCAGTACATCAGAGTGTACTGATAAACTATCTAAATGCATTTGCCAAATAAGATACTTGTCTATTGTAAGCCATCCAAAAATATCCTCATGGCTAGGATCCCTGTAAGTATAAACATTCTGATGAAGCAAAATGATTTAGAGTTACAATTAAAAAAACTGGAGTAAGCAAAAAGATACATAGGAAACATAATACTAATCCTATCCCAAAAGATTGTGCTATCCAAGGGGATCTGGAATATTAATTAGTAAGTTGTTGCAAACCTATAAAAAATCATCCCATAATTACTCTGAAAAAAGTTGCAATTTCAAAGCTACACTGCAGAATAGCATACTGGATTAATTATGCCAGACTGCAGCAATAACCTTGAATTAAAGCTGCAACCTTCTATTTTTAAGAAACAATTGCCTTTCTGGTTGATGAAACCTGTCGTCCCATCAGGTAACAGACGTGACCAGGAAAGAGAAAAGCGATAATGAGTCAATCCAAGCTGTTTGATACATTTCAAATCTTCCTCCCACAGAGTGTAGCTGCCACAAGCTACATCACCAGTCTGGTTCCTGAAAACTCGATCTCCTCCCTGATGGGTGAATGTGTCCCAGACATTAGGGCCCTTTCCATCTGCATTCCAGCCTTCTGCTTGAAAAACAAAACTTGGTCGTTATACTTTTGACATCAAAAGACATATGTTGGATGTAAATATTTATCACAAAGTAGGCACAAAACCCTCAAAATCCTATGAGCAAAATGAGCAGTATTCCCTCCCCCCTCCTTATGTCATTTAAAGTAACTAGGAACTTTCAAGCATTAGTATATATTTGCATTAGGGTTTGCATTTATTCATATTTTTGCTTGCTGCTAATTATTTGAAAATCCTGTTTTTAAAAGCATTCAGAGTTCTGACACTCTTCATAATTCCTTAGCCAAAAATCAGATGTTTGCAACTCTTGAGATATTACAGGTTTTCACAAAGGCCATTTTCTAATGCAACTTCCATCCATAAATGTAAAAGATCAGTCCATATCAAAGAAAGCCTTTAGGGTATGAGAAATACATTCAACAAATAGGCACTTACAGCTTTCTGGATGTCCTTTGAAAATCCTGACAGTCTGTTAAAAAGAAAGGAATGCCATTATGAGCCATGGCCCTAGGCATATACAAGCTGAATTAATAACACAGCTCTGCAAAACTTCTGCTTTTTGCTTAGCCAAACGTTCACAGAAATGAATTTTGAATGCTTAAAATCCCTGCACCATCTTCTTCACTTTCATGGTTTTGGGAAATTTCTTTGCAATCCAAAATTGAGATAGACAGATTACCTCAAAAATATTCAAAGTTTAACTGTTGTTTGAGAGTACTAACATTACATAGTATTTAAACCAAATAAATGCACCTTTCTTCATGACAAGCTTCTTTTGTCTTTCCAGAGCAATGCTGTAACTCAGGCAAACGTTTCATTTTTAATGTGGAGAGATTTGTAAACTTACACCCCTGCAAAGTGTGATTTTACCATAAAATTCCAAATAACCCCAAAACGGCCAACCTCATTTACCAGCAAGATGTTTCAGACCCCCAGTGAACACACTGTTCCAGGGTTACTCTTTAAAAACTAAAATGTCATTGTGTGTTAAAATCATGTATAAATTAAATATCAGTTGGGTTGTAAGATTAATAACTATATAATAGCTACATATCAATCCTCAATAAAAGTGTTTTAATAATCAATTAGTATCATAGAAATTAGAGATGGAGGAGAACTATTAGGAGGTCATTGAGTCCATCCCCTGCCAAGGCAAGATTGCTCCCTTAAGTATATTCAGTACTTAACACACATCTGTCTTATTAAATCTAAGTTTAATGCAAGGTTAAGCATATTGAAGATACTTAATTTAAAGCATTACTAAAATTTGTAATATCACTTCTGTAACCTAGCTTTTCAAAGATCATTGTCACATTTCATGTTCTTTACAGAATTTTATCGCAGCACACGAACACCGATACATCTACATTTGGTTGGTCAGTAAATTAAACTCTTATATGGGACAACCTTCAAAGTAGGTCAAATTTTAGATCCAGACAGTTTGAGTTTCTCTTAATCTCAGATTTTATCACAGACTTTGTGCTCTGTCTGTATACTCCTTGGAAAAATGCAGTACTAGAAGTTTTCTATATTCTGCTGCTGATTTCAAATATGCCTGCTGAAATAAATAGTCATTTTAGAGGAGTGCAGGCAATAACAAATAACAGTAATTCTTTGGTGGTACCTAGAATTTAGAAGCCTTTAAGAGCAGGCTTCCTGCACCATATCGATATGATATAGCTCCTTTTTCACTACAGTGGGAGCGAAGGGAAGTCAAAAGCTGCCACTAACGGGCAGCTAACACACCTTCATTTAAGAATCAGCAGCTAGAGCAGATGCTGAACGATTTCTTTTTTGTCTGCCTTCCTCCAGCAAAGGAGGTGGGAGGGAGGGGTAGAAGCATTTGATTTTCAGCAGAGCATGACAGTACTACTCCAGTGGTCATTAGCCACTATAAAGCCCTGACTGGGGCTGTGGCAAACAGACCCACTTTCAAGCATTCCTCATGCTGTTTGAAGAGCCTCTCTGTACAGTGCAGAGTATCCGAGCTAGCTAAATAAAGTGTAGGAAGCAATCTAGCCAAGGCAACAGAAAGCTCCACATACACTGATGTATCCTGCTGAGCCACAATTAGTCTGCACAGAGCTCTGCTCTGCTTCAGTGAACTGAGCTTGCACCTCTAAGCTTGCTCAGAAACGTCCACGCTACACAGCACTTCACAGTGGAGACATACCCTGAGTTTTAGCGAACTTCAGGGCCAGGAAAGAATGGTGATGAGGAACTGATTTTACATTTCAAACACATAGGTGAGACTTAGCTACCAAATCACCACATAACACGTCATCAAATGATTAATATAAATTATCATGAAATGTGATGCATGTTCCCCATTCTCTGCAATTATTACAATGGAGTAAGATAGAATGTTTTTCCTTTTAAGTGAAGCTAGTGAAGCACTAATATTACTGATCAGAGTATTTAAGTTTTCAAGTACCTTTCCAAGTTAGCTTTTCTTCTAATTCAGTTGTGCTTTCACCTTTTGGAGTGAAATTTTCTTGGCCTGGTCTCTGCCCGAAAGGTGAAATATTGTTTGAATTAATGCAGTTCAACTATTTGGCATATGAAAGAAGTAAAGAAAACCACTTTTACCATTACGAGATTTTTTTGCAACTTTTCCCTCTCTCTCTCCAAAAAAAAAAAAAAAAAAAAAAATCAAGCAGAGAGTTGAAATTTAGCATAGAAATGGCCCTCAGTAAGAAGAAGTGCTTTTGAGTGTTCTGGTGCAAATTGATTTTGATTTGACTGAGTCATGAACCTTTGAAATCTGCACTTTGAGCATGCAGAGTACAATTGGTATGATTTTTTAGCACTTTGAAATATACAGAGTGGAGAAGGTTGCACTGTGCATAAATACATAGCTGACAGTAAAAAATAAAGTAGCCTGTCAGCCCTTGCCTCATCTACTGTGTATCTTGTGATATGTGCAGCAACTGAGTTTGGACTCTACAAGAACTATTGCTTCAATCATGCTGCCTCTAAGTCGGAAGCTGCACAGCTTCCAAAGCTTTCAGGAGAAGGAATTCCCTGTTGAGTTTCTTACTTCTGTGGGAAAAGGGTCATTTGAGTAGTGTCTAGACCACATTATGGATTTTTTTTTTTTTTTAACATTTCTCCCACTCAGAAGCCTTAGGAAAGCTCATTAAAAATACATTAAGAGAACATTAAAGTTGCACATCTAGCCACTCAAAGGGCAGGAAATTATAATGTCATTCTATATGCACACACAATTCACATTTTAAAAATTAGTTAGCAGAGCTATGCGCATTGCAGGACTCGAGCTAGAATCTGGCCCAGAATATTGATTCCCCGGGAACAGTGAGCTGTTCAGTCTATTAGATGAAGCTAACTGAGCTCGTTAAAAGGTAGCAAGCATGGGCAAGTACTCTCACTTTCAGCAATAACCAAGAACTAAAGGCTACATCCTCAAAGACAATTTCAGATCTACAACTCCTATTTAGGTACTGAAATCAATGGGAGCTAAGTGCCTGTATGCTGCAGGGTATAATATGAGAAAATCAGACCTATATGTACTTTAAAGGTCTCTAAACACACATTTATGAAGGAATAAAGGTTGAGGGGGGTTATGGCTGTAGGTGTCCCTGTACCTTCTGGGTTTGCATTCCCTATTCTGCCACATATTTTCACATCATGCTGGGCAAATCACTTTATCAGCACCTCGATTCAGTTGGGAACATGAGACATGTCCCTGAGGGAGGGTCTCCACAAGTCCAACTGTTAACCTCTCAGTTCACTGTTTTTCATATTCTTTGGAGATTAATTCCTAACTGAGGACCCGCTGTGAGTACCAATGTCTGATGAGGTAGTTCTCCCATCCAGTTTTGGAATGGTCGATAGTAATATACTTAAATTAGCTCTAGAGAAAGGAAATACTCAAGAACTAGTGGGAAAATTACTTATTTCTGCTTTCCCCCCGCCGCCCCTCAATAGCTAGTAAAAGGTTTCTCCTCTATTTCCATCACCTAGCCTTATTTCTGCAATTTGAAACATCTTTTACCCTCTTCTTTCTGCTCGGGCCAGAAGTGTTTAAACAGAAGTGCTCCAGGGATTTGCATCAGATGTAGCATCTACGTAATGAGGCAAAGATCAAACACCCTCCTTCCTGGATCCAGACTTTTCGTTCACTTAAAACTTCCTTAACACTTTGGCAGCTAAAAATTGACACCTTCAATTTGATATGCCGCTGTAGCTGCACCCCAAGCAAATCCAACTGGAAAAGCAATATCCTCTGGCACCAGCTGCAGAGGACAGGCGAATACACAGCATTATGCGATGCTATGGAGATGCGGGCTTCATTTGCAGACAACGGTTTCTGGCTCGATCATTCTTCCACTTGTTACAAGCAGATACTGAAGACAAAAATAAACCCTGTGCAGCTTCACACACTGAAGGGCAAGCCATGCACTTTGCATATCTCAGGATTTAAAGCAGAGAGGTTCAGTCAGCTAACAGTGAAAGTGGAAAAGGCAGCAGTGGAAAAGCCTAGGGTGGTCACGGTAAAAGGGCTCCACCTAGTACAAAGCATTAGTACACAGAACAGATCCCTGTTCCCCTTCACTTCCCTCTCACCTCCCACCTCCCAGCCAAAGGACTTTGTGGACCCTCTACGCAACATAAATCCTTTAGCCACCAGGCAAAAAGTCATTTCCACCCTTTTCAGTAAGCTTCAAAACCAGCAGCACCTCTTCTTTTCTGGCATCAAATTTATATTTTTTCTCTCCCAGCACCAAAACAACTGGCCTGCAGTAGGTGAGAAAGGATGTTTTAGCCATTACATGTTTAGCAGTGGAAACCAATGAGTAGAGGAGGAAGATTTGTATGGGCGTACAGACAGAACAGCTATCTTTCTCCTTCTTTAAAATCCCATGCATGCTCTTTTTTTCTAGAGCAGCAATGACAACCTTATGGCATGTGTGCCAGAATCAGCATCTGCAAAACAGCCCTCAGGTCTCTTCCTCTACCTTCTGTCAGTGCTGTTACTGCTCGCCTGTCAGCAGGCTGAGAAGGGAGCAGCAGCAGGAGGATGAGTCAGGGTATGACTGTAACAAGTAGGATGGGCTGAAAGTAGTTTACTGTCCCTTCCCAGAAAACTGCAACACCTGGCACACTAGATGGCACTACTGCGATTTTTTTTTTTTTTGACTTACAGGAGTTTTTTTCCCCATTTATTATAACACTATATTCACGTTACTTTTGCCAAGGTCCATATCTGCACTTTTTGGACTGCTAGGCAATAACGTATGATCACTACTATTTTTTCTTCTTGTTTACTTTTCTTGCACTTTTTTGATTTTGAAACCTTTCTGGGTGAGGACCTACTCCTGGAAAGCATTATACACATAAGTGATATTTTCTTTGATAACAAAAATAAGGCAAACCTTGACATATACAGAAAAAGCCACTAATACAGTTAATGCACATACTTTTGCCAGAAACACACACAATGATAAAGTCAACTTCTTAGGAAAAAAAAATCCTTTGTAGAGATGCAGAGACACTGATTTAATTCCAAAGTGCACATTGCAGAACCAGACAGTGCAGATGCAATGCAAAATAAATCAGGCTTTCACAGCAGGCATGCATTTCCTCAAGTGTCTTTCAAAGGAAAGGTAAAAGCCCTTGAATACAAAAGAACAAAGGGGGAAATGAGGCACAACATACCAACTTGTTCCCAAAACACATGCTGACACGTGGTCTAGGCAAACATACGTATCCTTTAAGTGTTTTATACAGATGACCAAAAATTGGTGCAATGAACTAGTTAATGTTCTCTGGTTGAAGCAGCCTCCTCAGGCTTTCATTTGCAAGAAGGTAAGCACTGGACAGTTAACAGTAAAACTCATCAGGGACACCTTAAATCATGATTAATAGGTATTAATGAACCAGAGTAATAATGCATATTTTTTACATCATTAAAAGTTATTGGTAGGTACCTTTGAAAATGTGATATTACATCTTTTCCCAGAAAATCATACAATTCAATTTCACAAGAGATATAATAAATATGTAACTCAATAATAGGGGGAGAGGGGCAGACAGGAGATAGTAGCAATAAAAACCCAATAAAAAGTTTTATAAAAATGCTTAACCATAAAAACAAGGCTAAAAAGTGTCACTGCTGATTCCCTAGCAGGAATCAACAGAGACAGAGATGGGTTTTAGGAGAGATTGAGTGGGAGGAAAATATTCCATAAGCAGTCTGGGGAAGAGTGAACAAAATTTGCCTCAGAGGTTAAGGCAGATTCACAGTAATGAGATAGCAGGCTATGTCAGATAAGTAGGCAGATACTGAAAGATGCAGAGCTTCAAAATTCAGAGAAGCTGAGTTTACAGCAGCTAATCTCAAACTCTTCTGGCAACCCAATTTCTAGATTTGTGACCCCACTTCTGGTTGTATTTCTGGATTCATGAACCCATTCCTTGTTGCAGTAGCGGGACTTGCAATTACACTTCCATTAGACCCACTGCATGTCATGGCCCTTAGGATGCACCCACCTTCTTACTCTGACAATTTTCCCTCCATCTAACAAATAACCTGACCCCAACCTGAATTCCAGTATTTCACGGTCCCATTGTTTTGTTCAACACATATAAGTACAAAACTATAAGAGATCTCAGTTCTACCTAGAGGTAAATTTTTTCCAGACTAGATTTAGGGTTTTTACATTTGCACTGACACAGACTATACATAACTAAATGAGCTCAAGCCAAGTATTCCTAGGAAAAATCAAGCAGTTCTTGGATATCCAGATGTATTTGGATAAAGATATTTTTGGCAAATCAATAAAGACCAAGAGTAATTGGCCCTGATGCTAAGGGTTGGCAACCTAACTTTATAAAATGCTAGGTATTATATTAAGGTGAAGGATGAACAGGCTTTGGTGTTGGGCCCTTAAGTCATGTGGGATTAATTATTATCAGAAGAATTGTATCTTGTCAAAATGCGTTTTTCCTGACTGAATCGATGTTTCCTAATGACATATTATAAATATGTTTAATAGTATTTACAATGGCATTTAGAAATTAAACTTTGAAAGGGTTGTGAAAATTAAAATTTCTTTCCTGAAATTTTACACTGTGCAGGAACAGAAGAAGGATATAGCTGCTTTGGAAGCAAGACTGTACATCTCTAAAACAGCCAAAGATAGAAGTTCACATATTCTGTGAGTTGTCTTTGAAATTGCTCTTCATAAATTTAGCTTCCCTCCCTGGAAACATAATGGAACAGCTATTGAGAAAACAAATTTACTAAAACACTTTGAAGTCTGCCAGACAAACTTGATTTTTTAATAGTAATACAAAATTAATGAATAGAGAGCAGAAGCTATACTGTCACGTGTCTGAATTTTAGCAGCGTACTGTTTTCTTTAGGGTATTTTAGCACTGAGCTTATGGTGTTCTCAATTAAGCTACGGAGACAGCTTCCACCTTACACTGTGGCTGCAGCAGAGGACTCCTAACTTTGATCCTCTAAATTGAGCCTTAATTAGAAGCCTGTGCTGGATTGTTGATTAGCCTTTCTTCTCCCGTCTCCAATGTGTCAAAATTCTGTTCCCAAACCTAAATCAAATTGGAAATGAACTATCATGTTGACTGAAATGAAGGGTGATGACAAACAATGGAGGGTAATGATAAACAATAACTTTGAAGGGAGGCGTTTAGTGCAGTACACAAAGATTAGTATTACTTCTGATCTCATTTAATAGCTTCAATAATGAACTAGAAGAGGGAGTAAATGGTACATTAATGAAATCTGCAGATCTATTAAACTAGGAGGAGCTGAGCACACTGCTGAAAATGGAGAAATAATACAAGGGGTCATGGGAAGATTAGAAACACAGGCAGAATATTGCAATGAGATTCAGTTTAGAAAACAGAAGAATAATATTTGGGTAAAAAAATCAACAGATGGTAACAGGTAAAAATCTGGAGAGCTGTAATGCTGGAAGAGATTTAAAATCGAGAACATTAGGAAAACTAGGCAAGAATCTGTAGCTGAGCAGCAGAGACAAACTGAAAATTGGGCAAAACTATTAAAGAATAACCAAAGAAGTAGTGATTCATCTTAAAGCAGCTCTACAACCATCAGCTCTCTTCTGCATTTAGTCTGGGCACTAGAAAAACAGACTATCTGTCAGATGGTTAGAGATTTTGCAGCTATGGAATTTTTTCCTGGAAGAAAACTTAAAAGTAAGCCATCCATTTAACAACAGAGTGTTGTCCTTCATGAAGTGAATGACATAACAGTGAGCCACTGGCTAAAAGACTGTAAAAGAGCATGAGACTGAAGAAATAAAATATTCTCCCACTGCTTCTGGTAATTGCATCATGCAGCTTGAATTTTTTGATATTGCTGAGGAAACTGCCGATGCAATGCCAGCTGCTATGATCTTTCCAACACCAGATATATGTGCACAATATCTTGGAGAGCTAAGGCCAGTTGTGAGCAAGTTAATTCCAGTTGAGGAGATCACACAAACTAATCTTGCTGGGAATAACTGTACACAAGCTATAGCAGAGCACCAAACTAATGTTACATCACTCCCTGTACCAAAGACAGTTTCAGCAACTCTGCGCAGCACAGCATTAGGATGTATAGTACATATGTAAAGTGATATTCCATATTGGTCATCAGTCTTCAAAAGTCCTTGGTAGCTCTTGGCTGTTGAAGGCATCGTCCTTTATTGCTGAGTGCCTCCATACAGTATTTTTAAGTGGGCTTGGCCGCTCAGGAGTTTGTCACTGTCACTACATTGTAACCCAACACTGAGTGTGCAGAGAGCAGGGCGTTGATCCACAGCTTTAAATTTGCACACTTCAGTAGAAAACCTGGCAAAAGCTCTTTCATGTAAAACCATGCTCTATTCATTTATATCTCGGCATGTCCTGCCGTTCCACGCTTCTGGGTTGTTCACCTTCTAAGTGAGCAAGCTTAAAAACAATGAGCTATCATGCAAAAATGTCAGGATAAAAAAAGGAGAATATATATATGAAAACCAACATAAAAAATACCAGAAGCATAGACAGACCCCCTGGTCCTTTGTGAATGCAACTTGTTTGCTGAGACAGTGCCCCTTCACTGTTGTTTCAGGGATTGCTGCCTACGTTTTCCAGAAACTGAGAGTTTCAAGACACTTGTAGAAACCACCTACAGGCAAACTTACTTGATATGATTTTGCCAGGAAAATATCTGCTGTACCTTATCAGATTGGCTGCAACTGGTTAGAATGACGTCTGAATGATTTTAAACTAAACTTGCTAACATTTTTAAAATAGAAGGCAAAGAAGTCTTACATGTGTGTGAAAGCAGTATAGTTTCCCTATTTATGTCATGAATCTGTAGGCTATTTCACTACACAGCTGAATTTTCAAAATCATGTACATATAATCTTTGCTGCACATACCAAGTTCTGCTTTAAAACCAGTATGCCCCATTTTTTTACAATATGTAAAAAAGCACCAGCACCAGCACCTTATCCAAGGGTTACCTCACTCTGGAACATCATTTAAATGTCCCTATGAATACAAATCCAGAGGTCAAATTTGACTCTTTTGAAAATGTGGGCCAAATATCTGGTTGTTTTGATGCTTCTGAAACTTCTCCCTTGTTAACAGCTAAATTGTATTTACCCTTAGAAACCTGTCCATATCACTTGGGTTTTATACCTGGGAGATTATATATGTGATGTCTGTATTATTCTCTCACTCTAACACTCACAACTTACATATTTCCCAGCACAGCACTGATTTTTTTTGCTTGCTTCTGACCCCACATGCCACCAACAAGAAGAAGCCAAAGCATGGCAGAGCTTGCGGAGACTGTAGCCCCTACCCCATGCACAAATCCACCCGTAGCCCCTGCTGCCATTGCATTCCCAGGAGGCAGAAGTGTGTGATCCCATCACATCACACAGTGGGTAAAAATGTTGCTGAGAAGTTTGAATGCTTACAGGGACGATGAAGCTTTGTCCTCACAGTCTATCAACCCTCCACTGATATCGGTGGAAATCACTAGCTAATGCCAACCAAATTTGACAGAAAACTAATATTTGTGAGAATACATGGCTGAATGAATGGATAGACTGATATTGGTGTTGCAACTGATGGAAAACTTGAAAAGTAGGTGCAACTGTAATATTAGGCGCCAAAGAATATACTCAGAGGAGACACATTACAGATGCCGATACTATGGGAAATGCTTCAAGCAAGATGCAGCAAACCACAAAAAAGCAAAAATCAAAACCCTCAGATCAATCTGTTTTTAAAACTGAATGATCATAGAAGCACTTTTTTTCTTTTTCAATTCTATGCAGGTTTTCTCAAAAAACCACTAATAACCTAGAAAAATTCTTAACACTTTTTACTTTTTTCCTTTTGAGGGTTTTTTATTATTTATTTTCACACATACATGGAGTAAACTAGGAAAGGATTCTGCTCAGACCAATTTTATACTGGGGATATATTGACTAAACCAAATGACTTCAACATTTATGATATGTACTAAGTCCTGTAAAGTCCCACATTTTGTTTTCAGAATTAACTAGAGATAGTGCGACTAGTTTTTATAGCACAGAAACTGTATCTTTCATTTTCTTTTCTTAGAGAAATGCTGTTTCTAATGTCACTGACTATGACTAATGACATTGACTATGACTTTAGCAAATATGCTTGAAAAGCTTCTTCCACCAGTCAGGATTAAGAAGTCCCATTATATTAGTGCATTTACATAAAATTCACTTCCCTGTATCAGCAATATGGAACTATCTACTATTAAGCAGCAGCACACTATGAGACAGTAGTTGATATTACTTTTCAAAAGATTTGTGCTACGCCATTATGCTGTAAATATTTTTTTCCTTTTGCAAGAAATATTATCCATTGTACTCTTCATTTTTATCCTGCAAAATATTAGTGAACACTACTGCTTGCACCTGGAAAGGGAGATAAGTAGTACAGCAGCACTTTAATTTGACAAAGTAATCCAAATACCTATTTGGAATTCAGTAAATACAGGTTATTTTTCAAACAACTTGTGCTTTATATATATTTTTTTGGTCTTCCAAACAGTATGACAGATGTGCAGTGATGTCTCAGGATTATGTTATTCTGGGAATACCACAAAACATGTACCTGACCCTGAAGCTAAACTAATAGAATCAAAAGAAAAAAATCAATACAACTGTTTAACATAGCTCTCTCTTGCTTGATTTAAACACATAAATAAAAAAAAAGATTAAAGGATACGGTAGGTATAATGGTGCAGCACTGACCTTTTTATCATCACAGAGGTTGTCTCCTTAACAGAGAAGTCACACAGATGAATACAGTATCTCATTCAATTTAAGCTCTTTAGATCTTTCCTCATGTTTTAGCTTGGCACAGAGAAAACTGAACAGTTGCACAGTGTAGATGAAATCATACACATTTTCCCCTCCTGATGAAATACTAAAGAATTTTATAGGAACACAACAAAAAAGTGGGGTTTACGGGTAAGCAAGTCTATTTTTGTATCCAACTCCTTTGTATGTATCTCTCTTAACTGCCCCTTTCAAACTAGGCTGGTGAATAGACCTAGTATTAAAGCTTTTGGCTGTTGAGTGATCAATATCCACTAGGAGGCAACAGCTAAAGATGCGAGGATGTGAAGGCTGGGTGAACATACATACTGAGCTCTCAGAAATGTTTCTGGTTCCTTACATTTCTGTGGAGAAAAATAGTGGGTGTTTATGTAATTAAAAGACTAGATCATGATCTATGACATAGATAGGGATGGGGGACACAAAGGCAACCTTTTATTTCCTAGCCTTTGAAAAGTAGATTTTGTAAATTATCATTATTTTAGCAGAATGCATATAACAGTTTATGAAATATATTTACGCTGGTGGTGCTGCTACCCACATCACTTTCCTCTCAGTCTGAGCCAAGGCAAGAAGTTGTAGCAATAGAAAGCCTTTACCTTTTATGTGGACTATTACTACAGCTTGTCATTGGTTTCAGTTATTTGTTTCCTTGCCAAAGATTGAGTAACTTTATGTTGAGTTCCAAGTTCTGCAGTGGAGTGTGCTCTACTGATTATAAATGACTTTTATACTCTGCTTCTGGCCTGCATTCCTGATCTTAGCATCTGGGTTTTTTTAAAACAACCTTTGGCAGCAGTAGGAAAATGGCAGGGAAAGTTTTGTTTGGCCTCTGAACTCTAGCATGAGGCCTGCTCAATCTCTGCAGGAACAGCCCAATCCAGTTAAAGCAAAGAAGCTGAGAGGGGCTGAAGCATTCTCAGAGTGGACTGAATCTTTGGCAGACTACACAACCAAACTCTAACAAGTTCTCCAACCGAGCTTGTGCAAAGTGTGTTTCTTCCAAGGCTTATACTGGGTCCAAATACTAATGAATCTTAACAGATAGGGCAAGAGAGGTATGCTGACAAGCATGTGCCATTTCTGTCCCAATTTTGATTCGCCCCTTCCGTGTCTGGAGATGCTAAAGCTATCCTGTTTTCTTCCTGCAAAAATCTCACGTTTCAGACACCTCTGATCCATACCAGGACAGATTTGAGCCTGAAAAGAAAAAGGCAGTCAGACTCGTGGTCCAAAACAATGAGGAATAGATGCAACAGTTACTAGAGTGTTAGCTGAAGTATTTGCAAGAAAAAAGTCCAGTTCTTACTTTGCCTGAGTCAGGTTAGAACATGCATTTTTCACTAACCAGGTGAGTGTCCTAAGCAGCACATATTGGCTATCCTGCACTGAACCTATAAATTCCTCTCCTTTTTTTGGCATTCTGGATATCTTATTGATAAAAAGTGTATCACAATACTGCATTTTGACAAAATATCTTGGTTCTAACAGATCTGTCAGTTTTCAACAGTAAAAAAAGAATTTAAAAAAGTCATAATAATCTCTGCTTTTTAAACCTCATCTTTTCATATTCACTGTTTTCTTCTTTTTAAACATATTAGCGTGGAATTCCTCAGAGTGCAGTGGAAAAATGCAGATTCTATCACACTTCCGACAAGTAGAATACAAAAAGATTCCCATTTTGTACTCTATATGGACACAGCCTCTACGAACAAAATCAACACAAGCTTTCCATTAAAGTCATTGGAAGTTGGATCAGGTCTCAGCTTTCACCAAAATAAACCATTTAATCAACCTCCAACAAAATGTCTTTTTTCATATAACTGTAAGTGATATTTTAAAAGCTATTTTCTCAGTCTTCTTTCAACATGGCTGAACTTCCACTATGGCAATGGGATGTTAAATGGGTATTGCAAAAGGGATTGGGATTTTTTTCTTTCACTCTCCCTCTCCCAATCAAGATTAGCCAAATCCTTATTAACAAATGCTATATATAAGATTTCGAAGGGTTTTCTAAAAACTGCAGGTTTGTATTTCTCTTGCAGTTACAGCACAGTCTTGGATTGATGCCTAGAACAGACCCAAGATGTGTACCTCTCAGCATGCTCTGTCATGTGCTATTGGTTATAAAGCTTGCAATTGTTATACAGCTGGATTAGTGCCTTAAGCATACCTTTGCCATTCAAGGAGAAGGTTTAAACAAAACAAAACCTGTGTTCTCCTAGGAAAGTTCTGTGAGAATGTCAGCATGACAAAGCAAGCTGGGAATACTTTCTTAAGAGAGGATCTTGTGATTAGTATAACTTTTGTTTCTGGCA